ATGTTTTTGTTTTTTATTATATCTTTATTCGTTGATGCTTAATGAAAAAATCGCAATGGATTCTCAAGTGTGTGTGTGTGTGTGTGTGTGTGTGTGTGGGTGGGTGGGTGGGTGCGTGAGTGTGTGGGGTGGGGGGGTGGGGGGGTTATTTTTGACGTATTGAAAAATGATTAAATCTCAACATCATCGTAATGCTTGAAAATTTACTATAATCTGGATGCATACATGCAATTGCTATACAATGTCAATATGTATGCAAATCATGCAGTGTGAAGATTACGATATTATATGATTGCCTGGCATATCTTGAAACAATGCAAGTTCTCTATAATTTGTGTGCAAGTTTTATCATAATTTTTCTAAATGTCTTTTTTATTTTCTTTCTTCTTTAGGGTAATATCAATGCCCTTTAGTTCATTCTTCCTCAGAATAACTTACGTTGTTTATTTTTTTTTAATATTTTTGTTTTAGAATAACTTATGATTGTCTTGCATATCTTGAAACGGTGCAAGTTCTGTATAATTTGTGCGCAAGTTGTGTCATCATTTATATATATTTTTCACTTTCTTTCTTCCTTTAGGGTTATACCAATGCCTTTAGTCCATTTTTCCTTAGAATAAGTTATGTTGTTTATTTTATCTTTTTTTAGTAAAAAAAACTCTATCATGGCTCTTATTGTCTTGTGTGTTTGATGTGTGCGTGTGTGTGTGAGCGCGCTGGTGCGTGTGTGAGAGGTATGAGGAGATTACACCACCACCATGAGATGCAATTTATTTTCAACGTGTCTAGCAACGATTAATCTTCAACTTTATTATTTTATTGTTTGAATAATGAGTGTACATGGATATGTAAATATGCAATGTGGTTTCTATGCAATCTATGTATAAAATTATGTTGTTGTCTGAAAGTTACACAACTATATATTTGGTCTTGAATATTGTAGAACAGTGCTAGTTCTATGAAATACATGTGCAATTTTAATCATTGTTTACTTAAAATTTCTTTCTTCATATTCTTTTTTGGGGTAATACACATGCCATTATTTTATTATATTTTAGGATAAATTTTGTTTTAGTTTACGTTTCCATTTTGTCGCTTGCGGTAATGTTTCTGCCTCTAATTGTTTTGGCCTAGTTGATTTTTGGTTGTCAAGCGTTCTCCTATATTGGCATATGTTGCAGTGTTTTGATGTTGCAGTGGTGTGACACTATTTCATTATGTGTTAAGAAATTAAAATGAGATTTTTTTTGTAATTTATCTAGTTACTTTTATTCTTCATTTTCTTTCTTGTTTTAGGTTAATATAAAAAAGTTATTATGTCTTAGAACAATTTTCTTTTGTTTTAGTTTTCTCGCGAGTGCTATTGTTTCCGTCTCCAGGTTTGTCCTTGTCGGATTTTCTACTGTGTTTGTGCATACATATATTTCAGGTGATTTCTTGTTAGTAACTATAGTATATATATATATTATTTTATTGTTGAGAAAACAAGACTATACTTGTTGTATCTATACCTAATAATAATACAGCACAAAATGCTTATGCCCGTACGTTATTAAATTTACCGTTATTAAATTTACCCTTGAAGTTGATGAAAATTACACATCAATGCCACCTATAAGCAGCAAAAATGAATCTTTTTTAACTCCCGCCCGGTTGTGTTTGGTTCATCTACTAATAATCGCTCACACAGCTCCATCGGGGAGTCTGGGTTCGATCCCACCTTCTCCCAACTTTTCTTCACAAATTTCAATTGGCGTAAGATAGAGTTGGCCCGGAGCTCGTCGTTGGCGTGGAGGACGATGGCGACGCGGCTCCGCGCGGCGTGCACACGCGCCGCGAGCTCGCGGCGGCCGCCCCGCAGGCTTGCCGCGAGGGCGCGGAGGTCGTCGAGGCGGCGCTGCTTGCGCGCGCGCGACCGGCGCGCCGACTCCCGGTTGGAGATCTTCCGCCTGAGCCTCTGGCCGTCGACGTCGTCCGCCGTGTCCACGCCGACCGCAGCGGCGTCCGTCATCGGCGGTGAGGCCGCTGCCGCATCTTCGATCGGAATTTGCTGGTGTGCTCCGTCATCTTGTGGCGCGAAGGATTGGAGGGAAGCCGAACTTGAGAACGGCATAATAAGGGTAGAATAGCAATTCAGTGATTTAGGAAGGAGAAGGAGGAAAAGGGAGGGAAGAAATGAAGAGCCGTGGTATTTATAGAGGGTTTAAGAGGGGCATTTCTGGGATTTTTTGAATCTTTTGTGGGGCCATTTTGTAGTGGTTGCTGAGCTGTCTACTTTAGGTATTGTACATGATAATTCAATATTGCTCAAGGCATATGCTAAAAGCCTATAGACCGTCCAAGTTCATTAGTGTACATCGTATTAGAAAAGTTGCAGATAATCTTTTGAATTGTCAGCTACATTTTTTTACAGGTAAAGAGGATTTCATTCATCAAATAGCATCATTACAATCTTTGGCAATAATCTGTCGTAGTTCCTCTCCGCCGCTAGATCCTAGCCAACCCTAGGTATATCCGAATTGAGCTCGGCCTTCACAAGGTAGCTCGGTTCTCCTACTTCCTCCCCTAGCCACTTGACACCACTTTCTCATTGCGAGTTTACGACCTTTGGACAACATTTATCTCTTTTTTAATTATTTTTGCATTATTCCTCAATTATCTTTCTTTTTTCAGAAAGGAGGAAGACCCCCGGCCTCTGCATCCGGGCGATGCATACAACTATTTTATTAATTATTCATCAATACCTCACAAAGAAATACATCAATAAATCCGAAGCCATTTTCTTTGGCAACAAAACTCGCTACACCTATCAAATGATGAAGGGGGTGCACATGATTGTGGCCGCCTGCCCTGACCTCACACCAACGCCGAACATCAAAACTGGAGGCCCCAACCAAGCCACCCAACGGCGGGTCGAGAGCACAAACCGGTCCAACATGCTCTCTGCGGGCACCGCATGCGCACGCTCCTTAGTTGTTATTTATATAGTTTTAACTAATTCTATTATTATATTGTCTCCAAATGATAAGGTGGATCCATATGGGTGTGCGATAACTTCGTAGTGGACTAGGCGGAGTAAGAGGGGCCAAGGAAGCATTGCAGTGCAACCAGACACATCTATTCCGCAAACTTGACTAAATCCTAGGGAATCCGGCATACTTTTGTATGTTTTGACAGCAACAAGGTACTTTTGCAAAGAATATCTCATAATTTCTTATATCATTTTTAGAAACATCTCTTATTGCATTTTATGATTTTATGAGCATATT